GGGCGGACGGAGCGCGGAGCCCGGAGCCCGGAGCCCGCCCCGCCCCGAACCAGCCCGTCTCCCACCCCCGGCCACGCCGCCCAGCCTCCTCCTCCTGCCCCAAGCCACGTAGCACTGCCCCCTCCTCGGCCCCCGCCTAGCCGCGCCCCCCTCCCAGGCGGCCGCGCTCCTGGGCCGGGATCTGGCCCTCCCCACCCCGCCACTGCTGTCCTCGCCGACGCAAACGGGTCCCTCCGCGCGTCTGCCCGGGAGGTGACCCAGGCTCAAGACCTGCATGGACGCGGCCTCCCGCTGCCCGGCCGGGTGCCTGCGGACCGACCGGCGCGGCAGAACCTCGTCCCTGGTGGAGTTTGCCGGGAGCTGTTTGTGGGGGTCACAGGCCCCGGGGAGCTGGTTTGAGCATCGCGGGCAGAGTGGGTGAGGGCAGCATCCTTGCAGCCTTCCCCTTCTAGTGGGAGACCCTTCCCCTCTCCCGCCCAACCCCAGCAGCAACTTCCAAAACTCTGGCACTTGCGGGGAGCCAGAGCAATGCGCCTGCAGAGCAGTCCTGCCCACCCTCCGCCGGGCGCAGAGATAGAAACCCGGCTGGGTGCTGCTGTTCTGCTGGCTGTGTCTCTGATCATGGGATGCAGTGGCTTCCCTGCCGCCTGACGAGGCTCCATCACACCTGTCCACACCCGCTCTGAGGGTACCGCAGATGGCTGGGCTCCAATCACGGTGACATCTACCCCATACCACCAAAAGAGCTGAGAAGGTCAAGGCCTGGCACATTTTCTAGTTTAATTCTTTTGAACATAAGGTTCTGCAGCAGTTTCCCCCCAAAAAGCTGATCACAAACTTTAATCATTGGTCTCATTTATTCATTTCTGGACTCAATGTCAGCTGACAACAGAGAGGGAACTTCTCATGAAAACACTAGAAATGGGCAAACTGGTCCTGGAGTGGGTTAAGCCCCCTGGGATGACTGTGGATAGTGGCCAGAGCAGCGGGCAGGTAGAGCAAAGTGTAGAAAGGGCTTTGCTGCTGGAAATTTCCAGCCCAGCCCTGAGTGCCAAGGATGGAAGGATGGGGCTGCTTCTCAGCTTTCTTTCCTAAAGCCAGTAAGGGCTCTAAGAAAGCCAGTCAGATCTCAGCTGCCAATGCCTCCCTGGGAGGGTCCTCCCCGGCCCCTGCTAAGGTGGGAAGCACTGACCTCAGTGTGTTCACTTGCTGCATGTCTGAGTGTGTGCTCTGGCCGAGTCTCCGGTCCTTGTGGCCTCATTCGCATTTGTTCTTCCGCACAGGCTGGTTCGGAGAGTTGAGGAGCTAATCCGTGAAAAAGTGCCAGAGCCTGGCCTGGCGCGGAGTGAGAGCTGCAAGTGTCCACGAGGATTGCTTCTATCGTTCCCCTGCTAGACCAGAGATCACGTCTGTCTGCTTCTTCACAGTGTCCCTCACGTCTAACAGCCTCTGGCACACAATAGGTGCTCGATAAATGTAGGAAAATACGCAGGCTCAGGGTCCCCAACAGCCAGCACAGCGGGTGTGGTCAGCACCTCTTTACTGCCTGGGACCGTGCACAGCACTCCATCCCCTGCCTGCCAGTCTCTGTGCTGGTCCAGGCGTCCGTCCCAGTGCTTAGCTGGGCTCACTGTCACACTCCTTTCAGTATCTGAGAAGATTCAGGTGCTAACAGCCTCTGAGAAGTAGCGTTGACCTTGAGTCACTCGACTCTTAGTTCAGGGTGAACCAGACTATTGCTGTCTTCTTCACTCTCCTCTGTTATCTGAGGCATAACATTCATCCTTAACTCTCACTGCAGAGCTGTCCTGTACAGGCATCTTGGCATAGCTCTGGCTGTTTGGTGGCATCAAATTGTCTCCTCTTCCTCGAACCCTGGAGGAGAGCACATTTCAAAACACGAATAGAGAAAGAGGTGAAGTCACTTGCAGACTCGTAGACTCTTGTAGACGCATAGACACCGCCCGTCACTCCCAGGCTTCTCTCATGCAGCTCTCTCCAGAATGCCTGGGACATTTATTAACTTAACTCAAAGGCTTAATTTCTTCCCACAGTCTGCAAGCTTCATTTCAGTTCTATATTGTCCCTAATTGGTTTGTTAGACCTAAAGACTGGGAATTTTCATTATTCCTCCTTCAAGTGTTTTGAGAAATAGTTTGCCGCACTTCTGAACCTTGATCGCACCCCACTGATACGTGGAGCCAGTCGGTCTCCCCATCCTCATCTTCAGCTCCACCCAGACAAGCCCCAGCTCTCCCAGAATGGGGAAAGCCAACTGGGGGCGTGCCCACCGGAGGTCAGGAAACCAGGGCCTTGGTCCTGTGCGGTCAGCCACTGGCTGAGGCAAGCCCTGTGACACAGCAGTGTCCACACCTGTGAGACGGAAACAGTCCACTTCTCTCCTCCCTTGGAGAATTTGGGACTACTCCCGGAGTCAGAGGTCTGGGTCCTAGTCCCAGCTCTGCTCCTAACTGACCATGTGGCCTCAGGGAAGTAATTCTTCCTGGCTTTGCTTTATTCATTTGCAAAAGGAGGCTGTGACAGCAGGAATCGGTTTGGTTTCCTCTGTATCAGAAGTCCACGCCAGCCCGCTGAACTCTATTAATAAGAGTCTCATTTCCTTGCAAATGATAGATGACAGGCTGTCTTCACTGGAAACATAGATCTAGCTCACAGGTGCTCAGGTGCACCCCTCTTCTCTGGAAAATACTGTAGGTTATTCCCCATGTTTATTCCACTTCTGTTGTGTTTTTGGGGGGAGAACCCCATCCTCCAAATGTGACTTTGGTGAAGCTTTCAGAATCAATAAGAAGGAGGGGCCCTGTCCGCAGAAGGCTCTCCGTTTCAGGTGAGGTCTGTGCTCTTCGTCCACATACGGGCCGCCTTGGCCCCCTTATCTTGGCACACTGAGACCACAGGACAGGGGACCTGGTCCAGGACCACAGTGATGAAAAAGAAGCTCGAACGTCAAACCTAAGGCATCTGATCCCTGTACGTCTAGTCAACTCGTCCGTGGTCTCCCTTTTTGTTCATCTGACACGTAACACGGTGGCTTCTCCGTCAGGCAGGATCCGTGCAGGGCCCTCCGGTGAGGGGCTCAGGGCAGTGGCTGCTGCCTCTTTCTTCTATTTAGTGCAGGGAGGCATTATGCTCTCCCCCTAGGGCCCTGAGCAGGACAATCACATATTCGGCCCTGGATTGTATGGAGACTCTGCCTGCTTGGTTAGCCCCAGGTGTCACCACAAAAGTATGGTCTGCAGGTCGGCTGCTTCTTGAGATCATCAGCCTGCAGCCTTTTTGCATTATTTCTTTTGGGGAATCGATTTGCCAGGTGCTCCCAGCTTATGCGGGGATGGCAGCAAGTCCAGGGCTTGGGCGGGTAGCTGGCCTGAATCCATGGCAGCAGCAGGCCAGGCCCCGGGAGGTAGAGGTGAGTCACAGGGGCCCGGGAGGGGAGACTGCACAGGCTCAGTTTAAAATCTCTGCCTGATATATTTGTGAGGCTGCTTTATTATTTTCTTGGGAAAATGCACCAAATAGAGAAAATGGCAGGGACACAGAGAAGAATTTTCTTGAGCTTAGAGTGTAATTATTAATTCTGTGATTTTTCAGATGGAATCCATTCATTTGGAGAAGCAGAGGGAAGTTGGCAGAAAGGATCAAATGCAGAACCTTCCAGCAGCCTGAGATCAGCCGTCTACCCAAACAAAGGGTGCACTTCACTAGGACACGGCTTCGGTTTGTTGCTGTTTTTAGTAATCAAGGCCCTGAGAACCAATAAACCATCAAGCTTGGCCACTCAGAGAATTTTTTCTACACGAGCTAAATAGACGTCCAAGTACAATTGCTCATGTTTAATGTGGAGTCAGAATTCTATTCTCGTATTTTACATTTTTTAAAGAGGCAATTTGAATTCTTTCCTGTGATAGAAAATGTTCAACACGAATTAACACTCCTGACAAAAGGGCTGTCGATCAAGTGAGAAAAACATTCAACTTGAGATGCGAGCAGGACTGAATTGACAACAGAACTCCTGAGAAGGGAGGCTGGGAAGAAGAGACCTGCCCCAGACCCAGCGGCAGGCTGCTCCGGACTCTGTGAGGAAGGCGGCCGTGGCCTCGGCCTCCCTCTGGTCCAGACGCTGACCCTCTGTGCAGGGTGTTGGAGGAATAAAGCTGGAGATTTGCTGTTATCTTTTTTCGGCTCGATATTTGAATACATTCATTAACTCCCTCAAGAAAGGCCCCTACACAGATCAATATTCACTTAACAAATATTTATAGAATATTCATCCTACTATGTGCCAAGTATTGGTCTAGATGTTGGATGTGAATAAGATATAAAATGTCCCTGCCCCACTGAGCTCACCTTCTAGAAGGAAGAAGATGGACATTCAGTGAGTAAACAAACAAAAGAGATCGTTTCAAATGTAATATGTGCTGTGGAGGAATTTAAGCAAGATAAAAATAATAGAGAATAACTGTGTTGAGGGTGAGAGGCACTTCAGACAGGGCAGTCAGGAAAACCTTTCTGTGAGTTAACATTGGAGCTGAGACTTGAATTATATCCCATCTCTTCTGGAGAAAAAACCAGCCATATCAGGAGCCAGGTAAGCGTTCCCAGCAGAGAACGGAAAGTGCAAAGGCCCTGAGGCAGGAATGAACTGGCAAGTTCAAACAGGAGCCAGGCCAGGCTAGTGTGGGCTGTGATGTAGGGAGGAGTTTTGGGTAGCAGAGAGAGGCAGGCAGGGGCCAAATCATGCACAGCCCATTCAATTGTGGCCTGGAGCCTAGGTTTTATTTTTAATCAGCTTTATTGAGATGTAATTTACCTATAATAAAATTCACT